CACGGCTAAAGGATGTAGCATCGGTTTTAAAGGAGTTATATATTAATATAAGTTAAAGGGTAAAATTAGATAAGGGCTATCAGCTAAGACGCCAGACAAGGATAAAGGGGATATAAATAATTTAAATATCTTTATAAAGCGCCGAAGATAAAGGACTTAGCCAAATTAGTTCTCTTATAATCTCTAGAAAATGGACCTAAATAGAAAATAATTTTATAAGGGATAATAGGTATAATTAAGCAAAAAAGGAGCGAAAGCTTCCGCTCTATGAAAAGAAAGCTACTATCCGGATTCTACTTATAAATAATATATAAAATCTATAAGGGCAGGAACTTATTCGCACAGAAAGAATAATTAGTTCTAGTACTAAAAAAGTTATAGTTCGTGTAACCGCCACTAAAGATCACGAACCTATTATATATAAGGATATAATAATATAAATAGGCCTAAGCCGCGAGAATAGTAATTATATAACTCACTAATAGGGTAAACTATAGCAGATTAGTAAGCCTAGGTAATATAAAGAGACACTATTATCTTATAAGTGTAGGGCTTCCTATTATTCTAATCAATATTAACTAAATAGGTATATTTAAGATTGTACGATTAAACGAATAAGCGAAACTAGTTGTGGTCCAGGTTGTTTTCGGTATTAAGGCCGACAAAGAACGAAGCAGAGTAACCAGAGAAAAAGAATAAATAGGGGCGACCAAAGGATTAAAGGGAGATTAGGACCGAGGGCACGGGCGGCTATAGATATGATAAGGACTAGTGGAGTGGCTATAACGCGCGAAAATAAAAAGAAAAATATTTTTTTAAGGACTTTTTTTATAGTAAACCTACGAGCAGGCAAAATAAATACTTGATGTTCAGCCAGAAGATACCTAAAAATAGACGAACGAGCATAAAAGGGAAACAAAATAGTAAAGAGAATAAGTAGGTTAAAGAAAAGGTAAGGGAAAGAAAAGAAGAGCCAAAAAGTTACGCGCCTATATCCTTACCTATAACAAATATATACATTTAAGTGATTTCCTAATTAGGCCTTTATAATCTTACTAATCCTATTAATCCCTATAATCCTCTAAGTCTTCGTAATCTTATTAATCCTATTAATCTTTATAATCTTTACTAACATCAAATCATTCTTCGTTTTATAATAAACGATATCGCCGTAGCGGCCATAATCTACCCGGACATATCTGATTAGCTAAGCTTAATTATTAATAGGATATACGCAGGCCCTAATCGCCCGCGATCGACGCGCTTATCGGACCCTCTCTTTTATAATAACGTACTAATTTGTTTATACCCTACGCGACCGGTTAATATAATAATACTCTGTCACGTATTTTATTTCCTTATTTATACCCGGACCTATATATTATTATTTTGATGATATTTCGGCACCTATTAGAAATATTTAGTTATAATTAGGAACAAATATTCCTGTCCTTAATATATTTCTTTTATTAATAATCTCTATTATATCATATAAGAAACTAACCAGGACTCCCAGGTCATTCTGTACATCTACCCTAATGACGAAGTATGATCCTATTTAGTGAGGAGGAGGATCTAATAGGGCAGAGCCTTCTCTATTACAGAAGAGCAATTATACCAACTTCTCCTGCCGTACGGACCCGCGCGGGCTACTTATATTCTTACTCCTTCGTACACTTTGCTCACTTTACCACCTGCAAATCCTCAAAGGTCCAGGAAAGTAAAGAGATTTTAAGCTACAAAAGAATAGGGAAGCCTCTCGCTTTAGCTCGATCCGCTGTAATTAGGTATAAATCTTAGCTAGTGGGCCTATGTATCTTTTTTTATTTGTCAAAGCCTAAGGCCCTGAGCTTAACCTTTACCGTACGTAGAATCCGTTTTTCTCTAAGTCTGTATTCACTTAGTTTTTAAAACCTTACTATATAACAATGTAGATATATAGGCTCTAAAACTATATTATAGGCTAGAATAGAGTATAATCTATAGTATATACAAAAGGATTTGTTTCTCTATTTAGGTAAATAAAAATAGAAAAAATCTTTAAAAGGCCTTTTCTAATACCATATTGGGCCTGCCTAAAACTAGAACCCCTACTCAGTACATTAATTTAGGTGTATAGGCTCCTAGGCTATATATTATAGTAGAATAATTATATGCTAGAGTATATCCCAAAAGAAATAGCTTAATTCTCTATTTAGGCAAATAAAAATTGAATAAAAATTCTTTAGGAAAAACCCTTTTATTGAATGAGTCAATATTACATAGAAAGATCTATTCTTATATTCAACATATAAGATCAGCATTGCATTGATCACGTGACCAATTTGGGGCCTTCTATCAAAATGATATTTTTGACCACTTCTGGTACACGCAGCCCTCTCCCAAATGATAGCCAGGACCATTTTCCTAGATTGAGTGGTCCGCCTTTCAGCATGAATGGTCCGTTCTTCGGAATTCCTTCGGGCATATCTTGCCCGCGGACTTCAACCATAGTCTTCGAACCTCGGTGAACAGACTTCGACCCTACCAATCCCCTCAAGGATAGGCGGACCACTTTCTCTTAAGGATAGGAATGGTCCACCTTGGATATGCCAAGTAACCTGATACTAGGGGAAGCTTTCGGGGTGGCTGAAACCATCAATACCTTGACATCATTCTTTTGGCTTTTCTTCGGTTCCCTTCTTTGCCACCTTATTGTGTTGCTGCCTAGTATTTGTATAACATTCTAGACATCATTGAACATTCTAGCCTATGATATCTCCCCTCTTTTCTAGCAGAAAGAATCAAGTAAGTTCTGCTTTCCTGAAGTCAGTTCTACTTTCCTGAAGTCATTTTCCACTTTCCAAAAGTCATCTCTACCTTCTTCCTTTGATCCTCAGGACTGTGGTTTCTCCACTCGTTTGCAGCTCTACCTTCCTTATCATCTGCCTACGACCTTTGACTTTCTACCTTTGTCTGGCACCGACTGACCCAGCCGGACTAAGGTTGATCCCACGACTTAAAGAGCCACGATCTGCTTCGTGATCACTGCCTTTATATCCCAACACCTTTTAATTCTATATTAGGCCTCCTTAAAACTAAACCCCCTATACGTACGCAATTTAGGTATATTAGGCTTTCTAGGCTGTATATTATCATGGATTAGGATTTTGTCTTATAATATATCCTGAAAGAATAGCTTAATTCTCTCCTTAGGCAAAGCAAAATTAAAATAAAGAAATATTTCAAAAGGTATGTGTATTGGCCTCCTTAAAACTAAAACCCCTATTACGTATAATTTAGGTATATACAGGCTCTTAGTCTTTATAATACAATGGAATAGAGTCTTTATAATATATTTAGAAAGAAAATAGCTTAATTTTCTAATTTAGAGGAAGAAAGAATAAAAGAAGAAAGTTCTTAAGGTAAAAGTGCTACTGAGCCTTTGAGTAGATTATATATCTTTCTAACCTTATTATATTGATACTCAACATATATATAATTTCAGTAATTGCTCTATTACTATATGCGACCAAGGAAACCACTATTTAGAAGACTAAAAATAATATTATTTTATAAAGATATGTAGAGGAAGGATAAGAAAGATAGAAATAGTAAACGTTCTAACTAAAACAAAGGTAATAAACAGTGCCATGACCAAAAATAAATGTTGGTACTCCACTATCTGGCAGTTTATAAATAACCAATGTATTGAGTTATTGTAAATACCACTTATTGCCAGCCAACGCTGTAGAATGAAGATACTGATTTCGTCACATGTAGTAATTTAGTAACGGTATGTTATTATGAGAGGAAAGGCAGTAGAGAAAACCTACATTTATTTCTTAGTCACCTGTAGAGTAAGCTGCTATTTATACAGAGAGTTAGGCAAAATTAGGCTAAACTAGGCAGAAAATGCCAGGCAGGATAGGGTGTCAATAGGTTACCCATACCCGGGCTGGGGTCAACCCTTCGACCCATACCCGGGCATGGGTACAACTTTCAACCCGTAGAGCAGGTCATAGGTCAGGCTGAGACAACCAGTATCAATGTCTATTACTCTTATACCTACTTGCGATATTTTTCACCAGATGGGGATAGTCACAACATGGGCCACTGCTAGACAGATTTTGCGAGACAAGATTCGGCTAGCCCCTCCCAAAATGAATCGTGTTCAATTTCGAATATATCTGAGCCTGTCTCAGTGGTAATGCGGACATTCCAGCTTGTAAGGTCCCGCATTTATCGCCAGCTTCCCCACACTCCGCATATCCAGGGATGCCGTAAATCCGCACTCTTATTATCGGGACCTATTTGAGGTCCGCACTCGTTATCACCTAAAGTATACTCTATTAACTCCCACGCTCAGAATGTCTTCTTGGACACACCTTGTTCGTTTTATCGCTCGAGGACAGCAAGGTTTCGCCTCGGCCAATTGGTCGATGTCACCCGGGACGTTGGACACGATAGCGTCGACAGGTGGAGTCACTATGAAGATTATTGACCCTACTTCGATGGCCGCGTGACGGAGGAAATCCTATGTCAAACAGGTCAGGCTCTGGTGCTACACTCTCCTCTTCAACTGTTTGACTTTTACTGAAATCCAATGACCATAGCTCCTGCGCCCGTCACGCAGAGCAATATAGCTATATCCGCTGCCTGGGTCTCAACTACGCTGACCACGCACAAGAAGCCAACCTACCTCTCCCAAAAGCGCCGATTCTGTTCAGCAAGCCCCAGTAACGCTTGCCGGCCCTTACCCGTCCACCATCAATATCCTTAAGTATGCACGGGATGAGCACAGGTGACTACGAAGCTGAGCTGTGTCTGGTGATCTGGAAAAACGGGCAGAGATATTCCGGAAGCTGAGGCATTGGATTATGTCTTGGGTTATACGGCATCCAACGATGTCTATATCGTGCCATGCAAATGATTACAACCCCGATGGTCTTTCTCTAAAGGACTGGATGGAAGCTGTACTCAGTAAGAAAGAATGGTTCATTTGACAAATGTGAGCTACGATGGAAATGATGGCCCTGTCCTCGTTCAGCGTCCGCAATCAAAGACCCGCAAGCGCTGTCCATCAAGGCCATCCACAACAGCGTTACCGTGCAGGATGGGCAGGGCTAAACATAATCTTCAACATCAAAAAGCAAATCTGGTACCTGTCGCAAGGTACAACGCTCGAGGCCGGAACACTCTTCCTGACCGGAACACCTGCTGGTATTGGCTACTTCCCAGGGACCAGAGTGGTTCTCAAAGATGGCGATGAAATCTCTGTCAAGATCGATCAGATCGGCACTCTCGTTAACAAGGTTCGATATGAAAGCCGCTGATTTAGATTCAATTTAGGCGACCTAGATATGTTTCAACTCTTTTTAGAAAATTCGAGTCGCAACGCAACTGTCATAAGCCGTGGTCACCTGCACTATCATCTGGTAGTATAAAGACGCTACGGTGGAGACTCTTGACTTCCAAACTCAGCGCTCATTCTCTCCAGCCGTATCTAGTCGGTTCATCATGTAGTGCCCATGAAATGGCCATGTAGCAAACTTTATACTATATTGTAGAGTTTTCAATGGCTCCTCTTTTGAAACTTCTCGATACCTAGATGGTAATATTTTGCTCACTCATCAGCTTGAATTTGTCTGCAAACGTCGTTTGCGTGGCCTGCTCCAGAGCTTCTGACATATAGCTGTACTCTCCGGTGCTATCAAGTTTGTTCATTACTTATTTGCCATTTGTAAGCGGGCAGAATTCCGTTCACTCTTTCATAAAAATATTTTGTCTTTATTCCTACATTTTCCTCTAAAGCTCCACATTCTA